GTGTTTGAGTAAGTGAGTGAATATTTCATTGAATAAGCAATATTCATTCTCAGTTCGCGTCGTTCCCACTGAAAATGTTTTAATAGACACATCGAACTGCGATTCAATTGCGGTGAACGCCAAAAATGTTGCATCATTTGTAACTGTGGTTGGTTGGCTCGCGCACGCACAAACAACGACGATAGCAGTGATGATGACGGCAGCATCGACAACGACGATGATATAACGGCGTCTGTGAGGGGAAGTGCGCATGAAATACGTGAAATGTGGCTGACCAAATTAATTTGAGCCGATTTGGGAGGCGATTCAATTTGCCGACTCAAATTGGTATAATTGATAGACAGAATGAGCAGAGAAGTCGAGAGACGGAAACAGCTAAAAAATATTTTTTCGTGTGAAAAAAAAAATGAAATGGAATAGTACCGAGATAGCAAGGAAAAAAAAACACAGACAATCACTGAAATATGCCAGAAACGAAGAAGAAAAAAATCAACGCTATTTTTGTCTCGCCACTATTGATTGTCAGAATTTCTTCACGTGGCCACTAGCAATAACAACTAGTTAACGGCTTTGTTGTTGTTCAGTTCAGTTCAGTTGGACATTTTTTCTGTGTTTCTCGTTAACACATGATTTGCTTCCCTCGCAATCGGCTTATTATAATTAGCATTACAAGTTGAAGATAACTTGGAATTACCGAAAGAAACGGTGGCGTGTCACAAGTATTTTCTCATGAAAATCCGTTCGATCAAACGAAATGCCATGCAAACAAGCATTTTAAGGCGATAAAATTATTAGCAATGAAACGAAATCACATATCACTGATGCAGGGCATCAAAATGCGCGTTGACAGGCCCTAGGCAACGCTGTAAATTTACAAATACATCGTGCGATATAAAATATGTATGAGTGTTGTGGAGCAGAGAAACGTGAGACAGACAAGCATTTTTATGACTTTTTATTTAAAATATTGTCGTCCTTTTGCCGTGCATGTGCGAGACTTGAATCGAAGCAGAAAAAAAATATTATGTCATCGTTTTTAGAGAGAACACACTATTTTGCGCACGTATAATAGAGAAAGAGACGAGGCAAACGACAGCATAACAATAAATCGTAGCGGTCTAGCGTTATACGGTGGCAGTTAAGAACAAAGTGAATAAAAAGTCAATGAAAGAGGATAGAGTGAGAGTGAGAGAGAGAAAAAAACAGCAACAAATGTGATATTAGCAACAATGACAAAAGTAATAACAAGAAACGCAACGCGATAATGGCAAAAACGAGGCACCGAATTCATCGCTGAGACAGACACACGAAAATGGAGAGAAGGGGGAAATAAGCACGAGCGCGACAGCATAAGCAGCAGCAGCAGCAGTGGCGGTGGCAGCACAGTAAAAACGAAGAAAAAAAAACCGCCATACGTGCATAAGCCCGAATATAAAGTGTATCTGCTAAAATACTAGGTGATGATACCGTTGTATTTACGATTGTGACGATAATGGAACGCGAGCACACGCCAGCCGATTGAATAAATATTATCGGTTTTAGCTGTGTGTTGGATTATTTTCCCTTCGGTTTTTATTTGGGGCTCCCTTGAGCCCGTTATCACTTTGTGTCACCATCGATCGTACGCGTTGCTAGCTCGCTCGCTCATTCGCTTGTCGTCGATTACAATTAGAGAAATCATGATTTGGTTTCCCTATCAGTTTTTACGACACAATCAGAGACGATAACATACACACGAGATGCGCGCACAGACACAGCACAAAAAAAAAGATGAAGAAATGAAAATACAAAAAAAAGATGAAGAAAGAATGATGATGATGATGATGATGATGATGAGAGCGACAAAGAGCTCGACCAAGTTTCCAACGCACTCGACGAAAATTTCGGGTTGATTTTCTAGACCGCGCGCATTCATTGCATGGCATATATTGCGGTTGGGGCCCTTTCGGTCACACATAACAATGGGAAAGTCCAAATTCAGCAAAAATTCCACCGATGCAAGATAGAAAGAGATAGTGCGAGTGCGAATGAGAACGAGTGGTGACGAGACAAAAGCCACAATAGAGGGAAAAATTACCACAAATTGCTCGTAGAGAGTTCTATCATTGTTTGCTCGATGGTTTCGCCTTTTGTATCCATATTAAACGCTAAATATAGGCTCTTGGTGCGTCAAATGAAAGATGGAGAGAAAAAAACACCGATTTTGCTTTTGCCAAAAAAGAAAAGAAAAACCAAATTTAAAATCGATTTTATTAACGCATGGAGTCTGTACTGTCCTTTTTATACACGTGTGTGCTCAATCTCGTTACATCTCTCGTCTTCTTTCATTTTATTTTCAATTTCGTAAAAAAACAAAATTCGGCATAAAATTCTCTCTCTCTCTCTCTCTCTCTCTCTCTCTCTGTGTGTGTGTGTGTGTGTGTGTGTGTGTGTTGGTGTATGTTTTTGGATCCGAGTGAATTTCAATTTCGGGTGAATATGTTTGTTGTTTTTCTTTTCTCATATGGAGGGGCGCTTCGGAAAAAAAAAGAAACACAAGCAATCCGGCCGGCATTGTGATATTCATGAAATCGGTCGCTTCCATTCGAAAATTTATTCCGACAATGTAATTGAAAATGCAAATAAAATCTTCTCAACGCAAATCACATGAAATGATGACGAGAATAATTAGAGACATGCAATTCACAAAACAATGGCACAAGACATGGGAAGCAGCATTTTGTCGCTTATTCGGATACACATGGAAAACCAGTGAATATTTGAATCTGGGCATGTTCGTGAAAAACACCACAAGACCGAATGAGATGGATAGAGAGGGAGTGAGCGAGCGGATGAGTTAGAGTCAAAGAGTGTGTTAGAGAGAGACAGAGTGTGTGTGTGTGTGTGTTTGGTGTGTGCGTGCGTGTGTTCAAAGTGAAAAATCAGACAAACAAAGATTTGACCTTGACGGTGCAACTGCCGCAGACAGTGAGCAAAAGAAATTTCGCGTGTGTACGGTATACATAAAATATAACGAAAAATCGTACGACACATCGCACGACTATGGCTATGGCTATGGCTATGGCTATAGTTACAGAGAGCTAGCTCTTCGACTCTGACTCTGTTCGACTTTTATTGAAGTGAAGTGCACAGTTACAGACTTTATAGTCGCACCGCCCGACAAACCGAATGACGTATACGTTTGAATTTCAAACATTTTCGATTATATAGTAGCTAAATGGGGAGAGAAGGAGAGCATTAGACGGCAGCGACAACGGCGACGAAAATCCATGCACACACATACTTCGCAGATATAATTGTGTATTGGTTTTACTATACATAGGCATAGGCTGGCTGGTTGGCTGACTGACTGTTCGGTTGTTCGGAGCACATACAACATAACGCATAAAACCCATAACGCCGACACCAAAAATTGCTATACGCTTCGGCAAACCGCGCACGGCTATACAATAAAATTTGATATGAACATTTTTGCCCGCCGTCGCTGCTTCTGCTGCTGCTGATGCTACTGCCGCCGCCGCCGCCGATAACACAAACGATTGAAATGTGAAATGCACTTGTACACAACATAGTGGAAAGATACACATAGACCAGGCAACACCAGCCAGACACTGACTGACGGCCCGACTAGTCCTGTTTATTGAATGTTTTTCGTCAATTTGTTTATTTATTCCTTGTTTTTCTCCATTAAATTACGGCTTTCATATGTTTCATTGCTTCGTGTTTGATCTTCTTTTCAATTTTTGATTTTCAGTTTGGCGCGGTAACAGCTTTTAGCTTTTTCTTTCCTTTCGTTCTCGCTCTCGTTCGTTCATTCATTTTTTTCATAATTTATTCAACTCAATGCATGTATCTAATGTTTTTTTTTTTTTTTCATATTGTTCGCGTGCTCCAAATATTTGGCATTTCAATCAATTTCAGTTTGATATTTGTGTGTTTATTAATTTATTTGCGATGCGACTGTTAAGATCGCATTGGGTTCGTGCGCCGAATAAGACACACATCGAACGGCAAAACGGTAAATTGTTTAGTCCTTGAAGACCATTCAAATGCTATCATCTCAGACGGCTGCTATTTTATTGCACAAATAAATGAGGCGAAAAAAAAGAACAAAACAAAATGATCGTGTTTGCGGCTAAAATGATGATTCATTTAGACGCCAATTGATCGATCTATTTACATAGTTTCGAATGATTTGCGAATGTTAATTATTTTCACCGCTAGCCCCGTGTGTGAGTGTGTGCGTGTGAATTAAAATTGAAGACGGCAAGGGCGGTGAATTTATTTCGTGATATCGCCGCGACACCGAAAAAGGTGACGGCAATAAATGTGCGTAACCTTTATTACGCCATCGCTGACACACACTTCATTTGGGGGCACCGCCTAAATATATTCCATAAGACAATTCAAATGTGTGGCTGAGCAAAATGATTTCGCGTAACGTCTGTGACATTTGACACTTTTCTCCCTCGTGAATATGTGATGGCAGCGAATATGTGAGTGAAAGAGAGATGGAGAGAGAGAGAGAGAGAGAGAGAGAGAGAACAACAACCAACCAAAAAAGAGAACACAAATAATAAAAGAGTGGCATTCGTTTAGACTTTGGCTCCAAATACATTCCAGACAAATCAATCAGCTTCACGTTGCTGATTGTGAGCCGCTTTTATGTCATGTGTGTATGAGTATGAGTGTGTCTCGATGTGTGTTTCTCTCTCTCTCTCTCTCTCTCTCTCTCTTTCATTGCGAGCCAACACGAAATTGACCTCTTGGCTGCTGTATAGACCAAAAATAGCTGGACAGTACTCGTGTTCACCGACAGATTTGATAAAGCCATTAATTATCAACATTAGCGATGTGAATGCATTGAAATATCCACACCATATTACACGAACATACAACAAACTAAATATATTTTTTTCCCTCTTTCTCGTCTTCTAATATGTCTTTTGTCATCAGTATATGAAACGAACTCTTAACTGAAACATTTGTTTACATTACAGGTTGACGTCGTTTAAACGGATCGTGATTTGTTTCGTTTGAGTGAGCGAAAGAGATTTTGTGTATATGTGCGTGTTTTTTTGACGCAAAAGCTTTTTAATTCACACCTTTTCGGTATTGTGCATTCATTTCAATACTTGCGATCAACGTGTAACGATTGCGAGTGATTTGTCACCGTTGTCGTTGTCGTCAACGATTATTAGACCAAAAGAGAGAGACAGAGAGACGGAGATTGAGTGCGAAACAGAGATACGCATCCGAAAAACTGAGTGCAACCGAAACGACCAAAACAACAACATTGTGTGCCAGTGCCGACAGTGTCTACATCACATCAATTCAGTGTCATTGCGCGACTGCTCGCATAAACAGAGTTGACAACTGTGTAGCAACAGACTATCAACTATAACTATTGATTCAAAAAAACAAAACATTTTTACTCCGGAAGCAGAACATCCATTACCCGTAAGTAGATTAGCTAAAAGCCGTACATTCTTTTTTTTCGGTGTTGATGTTGTGTTTTTTCCTCGTGCTAAATGTGTCAAACAAGTGAACGACAAAAAAAAAGAGAGAAGAAATGAAAAGCAAAATGGGGAAAGAGAGAGAGAGAGAGAGTGAGAGAGAGCAAAAACAACCGTGTGGTAGTCATTGAATTTCGATTGCCAACTAAATAAATAAACCAGTCCAAGCAGACGAAGGCTAGACAGAGAATCGTTGCTTCTTCTTCGTCGTTGTCGTCTTTTTTTTCGTTAAAAAGAAAATTGAGTGAGTCTGAAGTTTCAATCAGCTTAAAGATAATCCGCTGTTTTGATGTGTCGTTGTGGGTGGGCACAATTGGCACCAAAGAAATCGCTCATTTATAAATAAAGTCCACAAACGAACAACAACAAAAACTGAAAACAATAGATTGTGTGATCCTTCAGTGCTACAGGTGAATAAAATGTGATAAAATGACGAAGAAAAAAAAAAGGATGTGGGATATGTACGGTTTGTTTTTTTTTGATCTTTCAGTGTGTGTATTTGTTTTTCTTTCTGTCGGAACCACATGCACTGGCCGATACATATTATGACATCGAGCGAGCGAAAAGACGTGTAATGCGAATTCATTGAATGGTCGACCGATGTGCAAACATTTTTATATGTGTGTGTGGATCAAGAACAAAAGACCGAAGGCAAAAAGGGAAAACATACAAAATGTGGAGCAACCACTTGAAGCAGCACCAACCACAAAAACGTTTCAAATGTGTTTCTGATTCACTCGCTTGGATTGAGTTTGCTCAGCGAGACGATGCTCCGCGTGCGCCTACGGGACGGAGAAAGAGGGCCCATTTCCCAAGCAATTTATTGAGAAAAAGAGAGCGATTTTTCGTTGTTGTTGCTGTGGCTATGGCTGTTGCCGTTGTTAATTTAAAAATAGGCTTCACTTTTCTCATACCCATGTGTATTTATGCAAGCATATCGGAAAAAGCGTTTCACCATTTACTCTCACAAAAGTTCAAATAGAATTCGGCGAAAAGTAAATATTATTTGAAAAACCGTTGTATAATTTCAAAAGAAGTAAAGAAACAGCGTCCGCGCTGTGTTACATCCGCACATAGGCCTGGGTATTAAAAACAATACAAGACGACGGCGAATGAAAATTTATATATATATATATATATATATTTAGTAAAAACGAACGAATCCAAGAGCAAAAATAATGATAAAACAAAGAAAAACATGTTCGCCCAAAGACAAAACAAAATTAAATGTCGAGCCTTTTGCTTTCCTTCCCAGTGTATCGGAATGTTTGTTACATTTGTTACAAAATGGGAATTTCAAATTTTTTTATATGTATATCCCACGACAACGCGGTAGATGATGATGATGAGAAAAGTAAGTAAGAGAAAGAGAGTATGAGAAACAACAAGTGAACGAAAAATATAAAACACAAAGTGTATGGCATTCGTTCGCTCGTGCGCAAACGTACTGTTGTTTGATTTATCATTATTTGATGTCTGGTGATCGTCGTTTCGTTACATTTGATAAAGTACAATGGCGAATCAGCACAAAATGTGGGAAAAGAGCAACTAGAACGCGTGTCTCTTCATATTATGTTTCTTATCAGTGCTGTCGTCGCAATCACATTGCTCGCTTCTTTGAGGCTTCTTTTCCGCTCTCTCTCTCTCTCTCTCTCTCTCTCTCTCTCTCTCTGTCGCGCTCGGTTTTCGTTTTGTTATCGTTCCATTTTTAGACTTTCATCAAAATAAATTAAAGATTCACTGAAAAAAAACAATAATGAAGTAGAGAAACAAAACAGAGAAAAGGAGAGAACGATACGGATGCCCTCAAAATGTGACGTGTTGGCATACATATAAAATTCGAAGGCATCTCTGTTCATATTATCCAAATTAGAGAGAAAAAGTCAAGCTCAGAACTCCCAACACACATTCGACCGCAAAAGCTCGGCGAGCCCAGACTATTAAGTACACACGAATATATGCGATTAAAATTTATACAGTTCGACCTGAGAAATCACAAGAAGCCATTTCGATGCGATATTTCTATCATTGAGAATAGTGTTTTGTTGGGTAGGAAAAACAAAAACACCGTCCCGAAAAATCGCTCAAAGCAACTCAAAATACCGGCCCCAAAAAACAAAACCCATTTTGCAATCGTATACCTATCAAACACGTATTTATTTTGCAATCATTATTTGAATTTACGTCGAACGTGAATGATTGTGAGTTCTTTATTTTTTTTTTGTTCGTCGTCTGCGTTCGTCTCCGTTTCTTGATATTTAATTACAGCGTCGGCTAATTTGTAGGCATTTTTTGAGCATCTGTATTTGTCTGAATGCTCAATCGCATCTATTCCATTGATATATTTTTCATTGTTGCTGACGCTGTTGCTGGAATCCTTCTTATCATTAGACTTCCGCGATTGCCACAAAAAGCAAACACACACTGCTAGATTGAAATGAATGGCAAGCAATTGATGCGAATGTGTTGTTTGTTTGGTTTGCTCTTGTATTTATCATTCCATTTGACGAGCCCCATCTCTCTCACCCCTCCCTCACTCCGCTCGCTTGCGCTGAATAAATCAGTCTCGAAGGGATTAGTTAGACAATTGAAATGTATACAGTGGGATCGGCTTTATTTTTTTTTTATCAGAATCAATTGTGAATTCAATGAAATATACTTTTATGTATATTTTATCGGGTAGACGCGAGAGAGCACCCGTCTGTTCGCTTTGCTTTATTTTAACAATGATATATATGGCGTGCCTTCGACAGATACTGTTTGTGTTTACATCGTCGCATTTTTCAGTCTATTTTTTATTTCAGTTGTTGATTGTTGTTGTACATTCGTTGATGTCATTAATTAAACATAATATTTGACGCAAAAGTCAAGCCATTTGCGCGATGATCAAACATGAATGTCGTAAACACACGCATGACTGTTCAGTTGCAAAATATAGACGACGGAAAAAAAAGTGTCGGCTACTTTTTTTTTTCCACATTTCTTCTTTTTTTTCTCTCTTTCACACTGTTTTGTCTGATACTTATAGAGATAAGACATTGGCTTTCCAACTGCAATAAGCCAAAGTCCAGCCGGCACCGGTGATTAAATCGGTATTCAACACTGTGCCTTACTCATTCGCCTGAACTCAATTCAACTGAACGAATCGTCGATAGTTTGTTACTCGGTTTTTTCGATACGAAGATTTCTTTTTTCTTCCCAAGTTTTGAACGAATTCAAATCCAATGTACAATTTTACCCAGAAATAAAACTGACTTTTTTTTTAAAAATTCAATACTAATTATCTCTATTTTGTTTCCATTTTTGCAGATGATCTCAGTTCAGTCAGGTTATGCAGGAATGGAGCGTTTCGGCGTTGATGTTGGCTTAGGATCGCCTCCAAATCATCGGTAAATGTCAACAATTATATTTGCATCAAATCGAATTGAAACCTTCATTTTTTACATCTAAACTGAATTGCCGGTGCGGTTTCAGGCATAAAAACAAGATCAAACACCTTACCCCATTTGATTTCATGAACCCTTTTATCAATTTCAGTCGACGAATGCGTTCTGATTCTGTGCAAAGCGATCTTTTGCTCGGTGCCAATACATCGATATTGAGCAGTAAGCCGGAAAGTCGCAACAGTTTATTGACCGAAAAGCATCATCACCATCATCTCCACCATCATCGGCACCACTGTCATCGGTGCAGCGATGAGATCATACGCTGTCCACATCACGTTGCTTTGCCAGACGGTGAATGGAACCATCCTTTTAGTAATTTACAATCGGTAAGTTTTAAGCTTGATCGTAATACAAATCGGCAAGTCGTTTGCACCGCCGTGTTTTATTATCTTTTGTATGCAGTCAGTTAATCAGTGTTAATTTCGGGGTACACGATGATTCATTGAATACGCGCACGGCCACGATATCGAACCAAGTTACCTTGAAACCATTTTTTTTTCCTTCTGTGTATGTATATATTTAGTCTGGTTATCAGGTTACACTGAGAAAACAAAATTGGCACAAGAGACATGAATGAAAACACGTCTATTTTCCCACTCAAGCCCATCCCCTTCCCCGAACCAATTCATTTTTGAACCACGAAATGCACTCAATTTAATGGAGAAGAAATAAAATTTAATGAAGCGTCAACACACAAAAGAATTGTGTAATTATCAAACACACATACACACCCAGAAACCGCAATATACCGAGAATCACAGACGATTTCTGGCATTTTTAATTTGTTATTTGTTTTGAACAACACATTTTTATTTTCGGCGTTTTTTTTTATTTATTCATCGTGTTCTTGTATGGATATATTTATGACTAATAGCTGCCGCTTAATACACCTCAGTTGAGTCAAAACCGAATTCTGTCAGTCTCTCTCTTGATTCGAAATTTATCAACCGGTTGTTTTTTTTGTTCGCTTGCACCACATTCACACGACACTTGACAAACAATAGATATTGATGACACATGATGACAGATATTTCGAATATTTTTGATGCGCAGAATAATACACGGTTTTTGTGCGATTGTGTATGATCACGTTTAGATTAGATACCATGACTAGATAAAAAAAAAACATTGTCTGTCTGTCGCGCTCATTTTTTTCTGTTCATATTAAATCAAACACGTGTGCTGAGATACGCGGAACTGTTCTATTCGCAAAAATTCTCGAGTAGAAAATAAAAAGAGGAGTGAGCGCAGCAAAAAAAAAACAAACAATGAATCATCATGGCTGAGTTATTGATTTTGAGACACTTAGACTAGATATTGATTGATTACACATTTACTGTTATTAATTGATAATATTTTTTTTTCTTTTTTCATTCCTGTGTCGTTTACAGCATGCGGAAATAACGCGTTCCTACATTCGTGCGCCGCCGAATAAAACGGCATTAGAAATCAATTTGCCGGTACAGAAACTGAATATGTCGGTGATGAAATTGAATAGTCCGTCATCGGCGCAAGAATTGAATATACCATCGATCACAATGTCATCGGGTGGAAATTCCGTGGCGTCATCAATAAATAAATCCAGACATAATCCGATAGCAAAATTTTTCACACGAATCAGTAGCGTACCAACGGGGACACAACAACAATCAAAATCAGCGTCAGCATTGTCACAATTCCACCACCACCACAGCAGTACAGATTGCCAGTCGACATCACCATCGCCCTCATCATTATCGTCGTCATCGTTAGTCTGCGTTACATCATCACCTTCATCCACATCTTTATCACTGCTGCAAACCGAAGACTCGCGATAAAAAGCTTTTTCGTTTTGTTCTCTTTCCATCATACAAAATCAATGATAATATTATTAAAAAAAACAACAACAAAATAACAACAGCAACAACAACATTTAAAAATTGAACTAAGAAAACAGAGAAGAAACGAAGCTCATTTGCAAATTTAGCTAAACAACAAAATAAAAAAATGAAACGTCAAACGGTAGTAGTAACAACAACAGTGTAACAAAAAATAACAACAACAAAAAGAAAACCACCAACCACACGTCGATGACGACAACAAAGAAAATGAAGTGCAGACGATGGGAAATTTGAAACAAGAGTGAGCGCCAATGGGCCATTTGGAGCGGCAGCACACAATTGCCATTTCATTGGTATTGTGTGTGTTATTGCAGCGGGCGCAATTCACTCTTTGAGTGCCAGCCACTGCATTCTGTTCGAATCGGCGTGTCTTGGGCGAGTGGGGAACGGTGTGTGATCGCAACTGGGAAATGTGATTCAGAATCTGCGCGGCCAAGTCGTACAAAATGCCAAAAACACACACACATATATATATATTAATGTACATTAGGATAGGCATCAATGGTGCCACCCAAGTGCACACCAGCCAGACCAAACATGTGGTTAAAAGCGTATCAAATTTATAAGAGACACATTGAGAATAGCAAAAAAAAAAACATAAAAAAGCCAACGTAGAAACAAACCACTCATTATATGTATATGTAGTTGCAAATATTTTGTACTGTGTAGCCCATTTTCAAGTTTCTCAGTGTGCGTACGAATGCTGCGAATTAGGGTGGAATCTATTCGGATGAAAAGAAGAAGAAAATAGACGGAAGACGAGTGAGAGAGAAGGGTTGAGAAAATACTGTTGGGTTTCTTGAGTCTTGATGGAAAAAGAACCAGACGCACACAATAGCAAAATAATAAAGAAGAGAAAAACTGAAATTGAAAGAGTTGAAGGTGAACTAGGAGAAGCAGAAGAAGATGAAAAATGCAAGAAAATTTAACAATATTTTAACAAACCGAGTCCATTCCACTTGGTACACATCACTTAGTCTTTAACTTTTACGATAAAATGTAATTTTTTAAAGATACAAACTGTTTCACTTACACACACGGACACATTTTTTTCTAAATTTTTTTTTTCTCATTCATTTCGTTTTGTTCCAATACGAAAACGCTTTTGGTGTGTGGTATATGTTTGTAGTATGCTCAACAAAAGCGCAATTGAATTGATGCAATTGGGAAATATGTAAATACTATTTGATAGATCAATGAACAAACCAAGTCGTCGCTTTTCATGTGTTCTCCCCTTCAGTTCTTCTTAGCTTTAGTATACCTAGATGAACCTTAGTATCAAGAGAGAAAGAAAGCTAGAGAAAATAAAGAAAACAAAAACTAAAAAGAAAAAAATGATGGCGCCATGCTACGTTGAAACCAGGACTCAAGTGCACCCTCGGAAAATTTGGAATGAAATGAAATTTTTCAAGTATTTGCTAAATATATACATATTTATACACTTTTTGATTCTTTCGTTCATTGTAATTTCTCCAAATTTTCGGAATTTCCCTCATTTCGCGCTTTTTTCAGCAGCTCTCCGTAGCCTTTCAATACAAAATTATCCACCACTGTGAAATGGAAGACAAAAAAAAAATTGAGAAAAACTAAAAATAGATATCAACTGCAAAATATTTTACAATTCTATCACATGAGAACAGAAATTATTCAAAAACAGAAGAATACAGAGTCTTGTCATGGGATTTATCGAACATTCGGTGTGCATTATTAACAAGTTAAATTTCAATGTATGAACAATTTCCAGGAATGAATTTGAAATGTGAACAATTTAGACAAGTCAAAGATGAATAAAAAGAAACAAAAAAGATATGGATAAAAACGACGGACATGTGTGTTTGCTTATGTAAATATGGAATTCGATTTATAATAAGATATAACAATAAAATACTAATTAAACTAATTAAAAAAAAACACACACACACACAAGAAATGAAATTAATTTTCTCAATTTTAGTTCTTTTGTTATTATTTTGTTTCTTCGATAATATTTAAATGAAATTATTTTTCATCAAGACTTAGACTTTGAAATGCGTTAAAAATGTATTTGGAAATTCTTTTCGTCTGCAATTGTTTTGTATCGACGGAGCAATTTCGATGGCAATGGGCATACTCAACAATCGAGTACAATAGAATACACATATACAATGTGGGCTTAGATTATTTAATTGACATTGACATCAGCTGAAGCCGCCGCCGCCGTAACACACACATACACACAGAATAAAACCTAAAATAAATGAAATAAAAAGTCGAAACGCTAAAGAGAAAAGAAAACACACAATCTATTATTATCATTATTATTACTAGTAGTAGCTTCATAGATGTAATAACGAACAATTCCATGCACTATGATTAATGGTTAAGCAAAAGAGAGGAAATGAATAACAAAAAAAATAATAGCATTAAGAATTTTTAATTAGTTTGATATTTAATATTTGATGAAGTTGAACGAGAGACAGAGAGAATGCTTTGAAACAAGGCGTTCACATTTCGAAAATTGCGAAAAATAAATAAATAAATATATTATTATATTAAAGAAAATCTATTTGATTCGATGTAAAAAAAAAACTGAAACAGACAAAACAATGCTGATGATTGATTTGATGAAACGTAAAGGTGCGTGTAGCCACGTTTAAAAGCAGCGAACCGGCATTGTGTGTGCGTGAATATGAATATGAATTTAAAAAAAAAAAACAATTTTATTTTCGAATCCCCGTTTTCGGTTTTTCAACTCAAAATATAGTATATATATATATATATATATATATATATATATGTATATATTATAACTAGAAAAGACTGCAGTTCATCAGAAAAAAAAAACTAATAGGAAAGTCAACGACAGTTTTTTTCTTCTGTTCATTCTTTCTTCTTTTTTTTTAAATTTAATTTAAATAATTCAATGCACTGAAAGCTATAAATTAGATTTTAGACATGATACAGTTCGGTATAGAAAACAGGAGCGAATACGGTAAATGTGTGTTTCACTTCTTTGATTGATGAAAAATAAATAAATTTAACAATAAAAAAAAAGTGCTACAAATTGAATTTGATGAATTGATCTATGAACAACCAAAACAACAATCGCCAAAACAAGTTCGGACTCTTCTCTGACCGTCGAATGGCATTCGTCTTTCCGCTGACTGAGCGAAAACTGAAAACTTCTTGGGACAAAACCACACCTACTTGTCATATGAATGGAATGAACCAATATTTGCTCGCCGATATATTCCATTTTGGATAAAGAAGAATTTACACATCACTTTTCTTTTCCGCCAAGTTGTGTGGCACTTTTGTGTTTGACTTTCACGTATTATCCGGAGTACTACTTGTGAATGCGTATTTGCGCGCCCTGTATGTGTATCCGTGCGTACGCACTCGTGTATGAGTACACGCAATCACAGCCTTGACAATTCCAGCCCAAAGGAATTAACTCTTATTTTGAAATGATATTAAGCATATAAATACAGATTGATATGACTTGTGGGTGCAAACACGAATTTTAGATTGAATGGGAAAATGAATGGGCAACAAAAAAAAAACCGTACACGAATCGAATGTAATAGAAAAAAAACGAAACGAATCATCTTCACTGAGGTGGGAATATCAAAAGCCAAATGTCTATTTTTTTTGTCAATTTTTCATTTGGATTTTTATCATTCCAATAATTCAACTCAACGCATTTCGATGGGGCCCGATTGCGACAATTTTTCTGGATTTGAACCGAATATTTGTTTTTCGTTTCATTTCCCTAGATAAATTACAAAATAGCATAAAATCACGATATTACATGTATACAAAGAGAAATATATAGACATTCTAGTTCCTAATTTTATCATTTTGACAATTCAAATATGCATAAATAACTAACTCAATCTGATTTGTAAAAGATGATTATTTTTTGTTCGGTTCGAAATAAACACTGAGGAGAAAACACTTGTCGTTGTAAAAAATAAATTCCAGGGCAATTTCTATCTCCTCCTCAACAAGAAAAAAAAAACAGAAATCTCTCACACGCCACACCACACCACACATTTTATTTATTGCACGCTGGCTAATTAACACGTTTTGAGACATGCGATCGAAACGAGCAGCAAGGACTCAATTGTGTCGATGATGCGAATATGAAATCAAAAAAAAAGAAATATATTTATAGATTGGTACACTCTAAATGAAAGATGCTTAGTTACTGCGTTCGCAAATGTGACAGGTGAATATTAAGCAAAATGAAAAGGAAACAAAAATGAGCCGAAAATTCTATGAGATAATTTTAGAATAATCAGTTTGTGGTACATTGAATTGCTATCGGTTGCACATATTACATACACATTTTATTGCAAGGAGAAACACAGAACTGATTGCGTTTAAAGAATTAAAAACAAAAAGAAGACGACGAAGAAAAAGAAGGAGAAGAATAAAAAGAAAAATTATTTAATAAAAAAAAAAAAAATCAAATGAACACTATTTTCGTATTTGCCATTTACGGATTTAACTTTTATGTAAATTATAGAAAAAAAAACAAAACAAATGAATATTATGAACAATATAGAATCTTAAATATGTTAGTTTATGAAATCATCAATTACATCACTTTTACTTAAACAATTTGTATCTTCATTCAACTACGACAACAACAAAAATACAATCAATATCGTTTATTTTCACACGATAGTTGGCTTTAATTCATTTGGAGATTGTGCGCGTGTGTTTGTTTTACATGCGAAAGAAATGAATCGTTGATTTTTTTTTGATCACAGTGAAAGCGGGCTCTTTCTTCAATCATTTCATCGAATTTTATCAGCACACGAGCTTTTTTTTCTTGGTATTTTTTTTCTTTCTTCAGAAATGCAGACAGTTCAAAATTCGCCAATTCATTAAGATAAAATCAAAACGAACGAAAAAAGAAAATATATCGCCAGTTGTTTTTTTTTTGGTTTGAAATTGGTTTGTATTGCGTCCAATAATAATCAAACACTTATCTTTGTTTCACTTTCGTTTCAAAACGGCTAACATTTTATAAGATAAAAGAGTATATACTTGAAATGCCAATGTGATTTAGATGGCATACCTTTAGCCGATAAAATATTGGTGACTCATTCACGCTTCCCTTAATTGCATCATCGATCGATGAACGGAAATCATTCTGATCAGCGGAAGCAAAAAAAAAATAATCGCGATGATTTAATTGGACGTACGTACGAAAGCAGACTACATACTTTTCGGATGTAATCAATCCGAAATTTTGTTTTTCGGATCTAATCAATGGATGAACAATTTATGGCGAACTGATAAAAAATGAACTTTATTGCAAATTAACACAATTCAGATATTCATAATTGATGACCATTGTAATTGACGACGGCTGTCTGAGATACATAGCAATGTTCGACAGTGACAGATGACACACAAAAACAATGAACTTATATAAGGTCAGAAAAAAAAACGTTTCTTTTTTTTCCCTTAAATTCTATGTATAGATCAAATGAAAAATCCATTACAAATTTTAATTCAACAAATTTACAATTGAAATTGAAATTGAAGAGAAAACCAAACAAAAAAAAATGCTTCAAACAAATTGAGAGAAAAAACCACACACACAAAAAAAAACTCTATGGGAAAGAGCAACAAAATAATTAGGAAAATATATGATTGTTGTTATGATTGAATTTAAACGAAAAACAAACAAAAACATAAAAATCAATAAAGAAACACAGAAATCTGCGCGATTTTGAGCTCAAAAGACTATAAGTATGCGGCGTGTGAGCTCAACGCCAATTTGTGATGGAGGTAAATACACACACAAGAAAGAGAGAAAAAAAGAAAGAGAGAGAGAGAGAGAGAGAGAGAAGAAAGAGGAAAAATGTGAAGAAACCTTTGGGCATTATTTTAAAACAAAAAAAAAATAAAATTAATGAATTACTGAAAAAAAAACAAAATTTCGCAGCGACATTAACATAACGATCAATTCGTGTGTGGTGTGGACAAACAAAAGCCGGATCTTAGAATCGAAGAGAATCTCAATGCATTTTCATTTGATCGTCTCTTATCGCAGCGCCGAACAATAAATACTAAAATTACAAGAACAAATATAAATATACATTTTATTAAAGACTTAAGAAATTTCTCGATATTATTTTTAGGGTTTCTTTTAATCGTTCGGTAATTGGAATTGTGTTGCGATTCAAAACGATTTGACATTTTGAACAGTACTTTGATTCTTTGATCGAATCTCTTGTTTGTCCACACAACACAAATCGATCACCAATCAATCAATCAATCTCTATGTGAATCTATTTTAAACAATGATGATGGAACTGAGTGAATAAAAGAATAAAACAAAAATTGTAACAATATAAATCGATTGCGTCTTTGTCTGTTTTTTGCAACCATTTTCTTGATTTTAAGGCTGATTTTTGGATGATCACACGAGAAATGACTCCATTCATTTATTTATTTAAAAAAACACACATCATTGGAAGTATCGTCTTGGATGAGACTACAGAAGATAAAAAATCAACTGTGGGCCATGATTGAGGCGGATTTATTCTTTTTTCTAAAAGCCATGGGGAAAAATAACAGTTGCATTATTTTTAATTTGGCACAAATTGGCTTCATTTCACATAATTTAGATAGAGCTTTCCCGCTTTGATCCTCGGACTAGCGGCCAAGATTTTGATCATTCTAACAGTTCTCTTTGATTGCTGTTTGATTAATGCTCTGAATCGAATGTTCAAAGAATCACGACACACGAGAAACATTCATACATAAAATTATGTACACTCATTGGTTTCAAAAAAAAAATCCGCTGTAAATTTTTATCTCGATCGTTGTGCCAAATATGTGTGATATGAAGAGCATGGGATCATATCGTCAATGTGGATTGCAAGCGAGCTTGTTGTGTCATTGAAATAAAATGTTAAATTTTTTCTGATGGGTTTGGCTGTTGCTGTTTGTCACACTTGTAGTAGATCATGTGCAGGAAAAATGGTTTGCGATTGGAAATGATGACATATTTATATTGCATTTTGGACATGGCAAAGGAGTCGTCGATATCATTAATGACAATTCAATTAAAAATAATTGATACGGTGAGTGCCGCCGCACTCATTCATTCACCCATCGGCTCAAATCCATTTCTGCAGACGAAAAAAAAGGAGCTATAATCGAAACCAATTCAAAGCGAACAATATACCAATCAACTGGTAAAAGAATCAACCTCAATGTCACCGGAACGAGATAGCCGTCGTGCAAATCAAAATTGGCTCCCGTTTTGGTCAACGAGATTAATTGACAATATTCTCGGGATATGTGCACTTTGAACAATGTTTTAGATCGTTTTGGTTGATTGGCTGGCTGTTATTGTCCAACAAAAGGCTCTCTCTCTCTATGTCAATAACGGGAAGTGTATGAATCGTTCGCTTCGAATATGGGTGCGCGTGCGCGCCCAGCTCAAGTGGCTGAAAACGAAAAATAAACGAAAGTGTCACGTAAGCATCAAATCACAATGAAAAGCACATCGCCGAAGCGTATCGGCTCAATTACCGTTCTGATTGCTACACATGTCGATCGTATCGGTTGATAACTCTCATTCGTTCGTTTGCTTTTTCTCTCTCCATCCTCATCTTTCACTTCCTGCGATCGAACTACACGAAAGTGCTGCTCAACGTCGTCTATCTATAACAAAGATGTAGAAAATGCATCGTGATTATGTCAAAACCAGTTTATTATTTTCAACTCAGCAATTGTCTCGATGATCACTCTCAATGTGACAGTTTGCAACCACACTCTTGAATGCAAAATGTCTTAATACAGTACGAGAAAAGGATGTGCCGATATTAGATTGCATTGTTGGCTTCTTGTTGAACCGCCAAAACGCACCCACCTATCCGATCAAGACCAAGAGACTTCTCGTAACTAGCTGACATTGAATAATTTTCCCAACACTAAGATTGTGATCTAAGTGGCAATAAAATTATTATTCTACAAACCGAATATGATTTAAATGATAAAGAAAACATACCCACGATCAGTTACTCTTTTTCTCTTTCATAGCCGCACGCTGATCATTAACATTGCATCTCGGTGTGTCATCTTAAATAGAACAAAATACGCGCATTTCTAATTGAAATGTCTCAAGTAATTTTTGAAAATGAAATAAAAATCCAACAGAAGAGAATCAATTGGTTTACAAATGAACTTAAAATCTTCGATTTGTGTGATTTTCTTGTGCAAAATTAAAAAAAAAAAAACTGGTCCAAGAGTACAAATTTTCATCTCCAATATTTTTATTTGAGCTTCTGAAAACCACACACACATGCGCGCCCGCTCATGATTTACTACAACGTTTTTATTTATTTATTTCTTACTCACGAATTTTATTACTTTTCTGCACGCAAAGTAGATGGATGAAAGTATTTACGTGTATCATACGTACCGTTTGTTTCCTTTACGATTGGATGCTGGGCACTTCATTTCTTTATTTATCTTTCTTTTTTTTGCTGGGTTTTGCCAATATTTGGAATTTTCAAGGGCATTACGTCATTATAAGTTATGCATTATTAGTGTGAACACATGTACCAAGCATTTGAACCATTTTCCCGTGTTTTTTTTTCATTGCAAAATGAAAAAGCATCGTATGGGTCACGCATAATAAGCAAAAAGCACGTAAATGTCACAAAAAAATTCCAACTGTGTGCAAAATATACATGTTTTAATCCGATTTCATGCGATTTGTGTGCATACACCGTTCATCGTGCGGTGTTCAAATCAGCAATCGGCGGTGTAAGATGTTTGTTTCAGATGGGTAATGCATCGATTGATCGGCATCTCGAATTGGGTGTATGCAGCATTTTATCAATAATAAACATAAAAGAAAAACGATCGAAATGAGAGAAATCGCGTATCAAATAAATATGGGCAATAAATTTGTGAATGTGATATTTGCCGCACACCAAATGGCAAATGTTTCTCCTCGTACAACAGTTTCGTTTCGATACACTTCGACTGAGTTATGATCATCACCGATTGCCGCCAGAGTTCTTTTTTCATCCTGACCTGACCCATTGATTGTTTGTGTTGTACATCGGATGATCGAAAGATGGTTAAATCGCTGGACAGTTCGATGAAATGCCTTTTCATTCAGTTGGGACTTAGTAGGCCAGTAGCAATAGCAAGCAACTGCTGGTCCAAAAAATCCCACCTCAACCGGAAAGGTAAACAAAAGTCCAATATTTTAAGTCAAGTCTTCAACATTCAACAAAAATTAAGCTTTTATTGTTATTAACATCTGAAATTGAAAACAGAGAGAAAATTCGAAAATTAAATTGCAAAAAAAAACGGTTTTTTTTTCTTCTGGAGAAGAAAAATAATGACTATTTCAACTAATGGTATATAACTATTTTTCAGATCAATAGAGGAGTCCATTACCGCGATCTGTGATCATTTCTTCGTCTGTCCCATTAAAAATGAGTTGGATGAGTCTTGGTGCTGTGAGAGAAATCGACGGATACATACATACATCGAATGATCGCATCACCAAAACGAAAACTGTTAACTGTTAACTAATGCTTTTCATTAAACCACACGACCTGAGTGAGAGCACATAAGCAGATTATCGCTAATTACTAATTTATTAACAAGTCTTCGGTACGTTGAGTTTTGTATG